TATCACTGTTACGTCCCCTGTAGGGGGCGTGGCACTGGGCCTTTTTTTCTCCCTCTTCCCGCAACCGCTTTCCCAATGTATTCTTGTTGTTCTGAAGAAAAATGGATTCTGGCGCTGTGGAGACGGCTGCCTCTCCAGTATCTTCTGGTAACCTTAATTTCCTGAGGGAGTCTTCCCAAGGGATCAATAAAGTTCTGTCTAAGTCTAAGTCTAAGTCTATCTTTGAGATCCAAGAGGAAGGTCCGGTCGCCTGTATTTAAACTTTGTGTAACCAGGTCGGCCCTGAATTGTTTTGGCCTGACAAGGAGGTTTTCCCACCCTGTAGTGGGTCATCAAACGCACCGTCTCCCTCCTTGATTGGTAATAAGAGCCTGTGTAGTCTAAAGTTTGCTGGTTTTTCTGGTGGGTGCAGCAGTGCTGTTGGGGGGTGTTGTATTACAGGTATTACAGCTAATTATAGTGTGTACAGGGCTTTCATATCATTAGTTGGAGACTAATGTTTAATGTCAGTGGTTCTGTGCTTATCTTATGGTTTCTACTGCGCTTCCACCAGTCCAAACTGCACTTTGTCATTTAGGGTTTTAGTTAATAGTTTGTGGGTTGTTTTGTTATTAAAGGTTTGGTATAAATTTGGTTTGGTTTGTTTCTTTGACCCACCAACGTCTAAAACCTTTGTTTGAACAGTGTTTTTTGGACAGGTGTTTTTATTCTTTTGGGATATTTTGAACGGTTTTAAACTATATGTGGAATAAACCTTTTTGTTACCTTAAGTTCCTCTTTAGTTGCCAGGCGTACTTGTGGGTCTAACAGGGAACTCCATTTATTTGGTGTTGGCTCTGTGCTTTTTCTGTCTTATCTTATCTGTCAGTTAATCTTAATCATAACATCCTAATCTCAGTCTGGACCGGCGTGTTTTCCCACCTGAGGCTGTTTGAGGCCTGCTCCTCCTGCTGGGCCTTGGACACGTTGTCCTGTGTGTATTTGGTCCAGGATGAAGGGACGCACGCACTGCAGCAGAACAGAGGCCACCGTATTCATCACATCCCGGGATCACCTGTTTTACCTTTAAGACTTCTCTTATTTATATGGAATGTTTTCTTTAAAAAACAGCCCTCATTTTTTGCTGAACACTTATTCCTTGTTGAACAAAATCATAATTACTTAACAAGGCGGGCACGAGGTGGAGACTTTAAACTCCCTAGACCCAGAACAAACTCTAAAATCCACAGTCCATTATAGATTATTATCATTTCACTGGAACCAACGGCCAATAACCACACGAAGACTTCAGAACAGAACAAGCTTCAAAAATATTGTGCCTTCAGAACTACTGCAAATGATAAGATGAACTGACCTGTGTATATATGTTGTATAGTTCTACTCTTGTTTATGTTTTTATTTCCTACTGTGATTTTTATCTTTATTTGTTATGATCTCTTTATAATGTAATGTAAATTCTTCATGTGAAGACCCCAGGAAGACTAGTGGCCATTTATGGGCCACTAGTGGGACTAATGGGACTAGTGGCCATTTATTATTTGGCAGCTAATGGAAATCCTAATAAAACGAAACTAAACTGAACTAAACCTGACCCTCCCGGTGGTCAGACTCACTGCTCCTGATTGGCCGCTGAGCTGGGATGCTGCTGAGTGTCGGGGCTCGTGTTGCTGTGCTTCCCGCTGAGCTCATCCAAGCTGTAGGCCTCATATTTATCCGACCAGTCCCGCTCCAGGGTCTGCTTGGCCTCTCTGTTCTTCCTGAGACAGACAGGGAGGAGGAGGAGGCGGTTTTCCGGAGAGCTGTGCAAACGTCGGTGGGAATACTGGTACTAGCGGATGAGTTTAATGCTCACTTGATTTGAGAGACGACCTGAGCTGTGGTTCTCTTCAGAAGAGCCTGGACGTTCCTGATCAGGTCCACTTCCTGCAAATGGTCAGCCACTGTGTTTGGGGGGGACTGAGCTACTGCAATAATCACTGTTTTTGTTCGAAATAGACTCAAAACGATCAGTCTCTAAAAGCATTCCAGTAAAAAGCGTTAAGCAGACATAATCTAGACTGTCCAAGAATTAAAATTATTTTAGAAAACGTGGTGTGTGACTGAAATAAATTGATCAGAAAGCGATTTTGTTCAGTGTTACTAATGGTTACTAATCACTATTTTCCTGTTTCTCTTTATTATTCTTTATTCCGTATGTTTTCCTTCATCTAACTACTCCTACACCTTTCAGCCTATTTCAACTAATAAGGTATCCACATGTTCAGCTATCTCAGGACTATGCAGCTATGACTTTTGGTGTTCACATATTTTTAACATTTAAAAATATTTAAACTTTTATGCCTTATTCCTCTCACTGAAATGAATAGAGCCAAAAATATGCCTCCCTCTCCCTGTTCTTGTTCCTCATCTATAATTTTATGGCCTTTTACTCTTATTCTAATCCTTTTACCTTTATTCTTCCACTGTTTAGTTTTCGGGTCTTTAAAATTATCTACTCCCTTCAGCCTTTTCTCTTCCATTCTGTCTTATTCAGCTTTTCTTCCTCCATTTACCACTTGGCATTCTCACAGTTGTTCTGCAGGAACAGCCATATTCTATGTTTATGTTTCTGTTTATGCATTTGGCAGACGCTTTTATCCAAAGCGACTTACAGAGTAGACACAATATTACATTTCTCATCACTATAAGCTATATAGAGGAGAAACACTGATCAGAGTCAGTAGTGAGATAGAGGTAGAAGCACAAGAGTTACCTGTGTAAAGAACAGGAAGTCATATGAAGGACTCAGGCACTGCTGGGATTTGAACCCAGGATCTCCTGTTTACTAGACAGACGCTTTGACCAGCTAAGCTACAGCACCTTGATAAGAAGTTGAACTTTGTTTTCTGATCAGGGATTCACCTTCAGCAGCTGCTCCTCCACCGCGTCCCGGACCAGGTCTGGTCCGAGTCTCCGGGCCCTGCAGCTCAGGTTGTCGACGGCGATGGCGTACGGCGTCTCGGTGGCGTCCAGCGCCCTGTCCAGCCGGGTCCTGACCCCCAGCAGCGACCGGGTCTCGGCCTCCAGAGACTCGACGTGCTTCCTCAGCTCCGACTGCCAGGAGTGGATCTCCTGCAGCCTCTCTCCCAGGAGACGGGTCCCCTGGGTCTGGGTCTCAAATGTGGACGCCTCGGTGTCTTGATCCAAAGCTCTGGACTGGCGCTGGACGCTTTCGGACTCGGCCTGGCGGGAACCGGCCTGCCTCAGAATGGTTTGGTAGTTGGAGAACCATTCGGCCGGCATGTATTTGGCCGAGCGGTACCCGGCGGTGGCCGAACCTGAAGAGGGCTGTGGAAAATCAGGTTCCACAGGGGTACTCGTCTCTCCCAGTCCCAGAGCCACTGCCCTGCTGTCAAACTGAGGCCGGGACACGATGACCTCTGAACTCATCTCCCAACTATCCAATTTCTCAAAAAATACAACCAAAAATTAACTGATCTGGCTGAGAACAAAATGCAAAGGTACTCGGTTTCAACTCTCTGGTTGAGCTGCAGGCTTTTGTTTGTTTACTGTTGCCTGGATACCAAGCTGGACATGAGCAGCTTTTCTTTCAGCTGTCTGGTGGATTTTTTTTTTTTAAAGGAGCTGATGGGCAGCGAGCGGCAACTTGAGTCCTGAAACTGGCAAAGTGAATATGTCTGATGGATCATCATTATAGAAGAACACTATAATAAGATGAGACTTTTTTTTTTTTTAAAGAATAAAGTGGATGCACTGTTTTTATTCTGTTTCTGTTTTCAGGAAAATGAGAGTGGATGAAACTGAGAACCTGCGACTGAGGTGAGATTTATTTATTTATTTATTTTTACAGCCGATTTTGGCTGTTCTGTTGAAAAATGTGGAGATTAGAGAACTCAGAGCGAGAGAGCTCTCTGTCCAGAGGAAGACTGTTTTATGAACGGCTACAAAAAAGGCTAAGATGCCCAAAACAATCCTTCAAGTCAGAAAGTTAGCAGCCATGCCTGAACTCAGTTTCAGTTTTCTGATAACCAGACGAGAAACCGGTGGACTTCTCCTCCTCTATTTCTCCTCAAACAAGTGTATTATCCTAAATGTAAAGCCAGTCCTTTAAAGTGTATTTTATTAGCAAAGCATTGAAATTTGAAATAATACATTGACTTGTATGTCATTCACATTTTATCCATCCATAGGACTATATTTCTATTAATACAACAGAAGTGCATCGTGTCATTTAACTTAGCACAACATATTAAATGTGAGCATCAATTCTATGAACATTGTAACATATTTAAGGTCAAAGTAGATTCAATATTAAATGTACACTCCACTATTAGCACTAATGACTAAAAGAGAAAATCTCTCCAGTTTCTGGGATTGTCTTCATCCATGGTGACTTTGGGACCTCCACAGAGGAAGCTGCCCCCTCTGGATTTTCACAAATCTACAACACAAAAGAAGAAAAAAAGATCACTCATTTCCAAACGCAATTCTGCGTCTATTTGATCAACAAACTGTATCAACTTCAACCTTAATTGTAATGAAATCTAAGACGAATGTCTCAAAAACAGAGCAGCATCAGCTGTGTTAGATTAACTAAAGTTAGCTCCACAATCTGAATCAATCAAGAAAATACATCATAGCTTATTTATGAGTGCATACCTGGCTCGGCGTGTTCTGTGTACAAAGTGCCCTGCAGTCTTTTGCGTTTCTTTATCACAACCAGGACAAAGACAAGGGCCGACAGCAGGGTCAGAATCAGGACGGCTGGCAGGACGTGAACCAGGACCGAGGAGTGAGACTCATCTGAAAGGACGAAAATACACATTTGAGTGACGTTGTTTCGTCGTTCCACCATCTACTTATGTCTATAGTGACACGAACACAGTTTTTCCTCCTGGAGGAACAACAGAGGAACAACAGGAGTAATTCTAGTAAACGCAAAAAGGTGTAAAAAAGCTGACCGGGATGGTTGGGAGAGGCTGCTGTGACCCGTCCAGAAGCAGGGAGCAGGGTCACAGAGCTGCTTTTCTGTGGAAAGACTGTCAGAGAGAGGGGTCTTAAAACACCACGGGAACTTTCTACTGTCCAGAAAATAACTTTTTCTGTTCATGTTTATTTTGAGCCAGTCCCGATTCAGCTGCTAGTTCATTCAAAAGTCTTTCCTTCATGTAACCAAATGCATCAGAGCACGATTTACAGCTAAAACTCTTTTGACATGTTTGGAGTATTGAAGTCCACAGGTTGGAGGCAGAGTTGCCTCTGTGTGGACACGTGTAATGTACCTGAAATAGGTTTGACATAAACATGCGTTGAATTAGTTAAGCCAGTTCCCACAGTGCTGGTCTGCTGCTGAGAAACTGTCAAAGAAAGAATACCGGTGTCATTTCACTGTTGGTTCAGAGAGAAAAGTCTCATTAGCTTTCAAATAGTTTGGCAAGAGGTATTTTAGCTTTTTCTCTCTTTATCTTTAGAAGAAAATCCTAAAAGAATGATCCACCGACTGTTGTTTTTGCTATCCAGAAGGGATTTCTGTGTCTTTTAAGGCAAATCAATTAAGTTATGTTTCCATAAATGGTGTAAGAAATGTGATGGAAAATAAAACTTAAATTTCAGCTGCCAGCATTTGGTTCACAAGGTGAGAGATGCTGTTTTACTAGGTTGAATTTAGAGGATTTAACACCAGCAAAGTCCCATTTCATGGCACTGGGTTGTAAAAGTCATGCTAACGACAAAACTAAATCTCTCAGAATCCAGACAGGTTTTCCTACCTACAGACAGGTGGATCTTCGTGTAGTTCCCAGGGCTCCAGAGCGGGTCGGAGCCGCACCAGTAGGTCCCGGCGTCCCCGGCCTGCAGCGGGGAGATGGTGACAGAAAAGGGGCTGGAGGAGGCGTTGTGCAGCCTGAACCGACCCTGGCTCGTCACATCCCTGCAGCCTTTGCGTGTCTCTCCTTTACAGAGGAACTTCCTGTTGGTGCGGTGCTGAGCTGGGTACGGACAATCCAACGTCAGCGGACGCCCCACGGTGCCCGTAAGGTTCTCCGACCTGGAACAGCACCAGCCTGATAGAAGAGAGGAGTCGGACCAGAAGGGTATCTCATTATGGAGTCACTCTGATGAGTAATTGTCATGTCAAAAATGTCAAAAAAAGAGGAAAAGGTAGGAAAAAAGAGGAGTGAACTCAGCCAATCAGGTTCAGCTCATGATCCAATCACCAGATATACAGTGGGGGAAATAAGTATTTGACCCCTTGCTGATTTTGAAGGTTTGCCCACTTACAAAGAATGCAACGATATATAACTTTAATTATATGTACATTCTAACAGTGAAAGACAGAATCCCAAAGAAAATTCCAGAAAATCACCTCATATGAATTTATAAAAATTGATAACCATCTGATGAGGAAAAATAAGCGTTATTTGTAAGTGGGCAAACCTGCAAAATCAGCAAGGGGTCAAATACTTATTTCCCCCACTGTACAACTGGTAAGGAGGAGATTAAGTTGATTAATAGGATATTGTTTATTAAAAGGTAGAAGTTGAGTTGGGAGATATTGTAGTATGGTTTGTGGCCTGGTAATGTTCAGTTTATATTGTGCTTCTGGTTGAGCCACAGTGAAAATGTTTGATTTAAAAATGTTTGTTTGAACTAATTCAACTTCTGTTTGTCAGTTTACTGTTGAAAGGTTTTCAACCTAGACCTAATTCCAGTCCTAAATCCATCCATTATGGTAACCTCTTATTCCCTAATGGGGTCGGGGGGGCGGAGCCTATCCCAGTAGCCAATGGGGAGAGGCGGGGTCACCCTGGACGGTCCCCAGTCCATCACAGGGACACACAGAGACACACAAGGACCAACAACCACACACACTCACACTAAGGGCAGTTTGGAGTCCAACAACCTTACATGCAGGTTTTTGGACGGTGGGAGGAAGCCGGAGAACCCGGAGAGAACCCACAGACACAGGGAGAACATGCAGACTCCACCCAGAAAGGTCCTGGTTCCCCCGGGGACTCCAACCCAGAACCCTCTGGTCCTGGTTCCCCCGGGACTCCAACCCAGAACCCTCTGGTCCTGGTTCCCCCCGGGAATCCAACCCAGACCCACTCCTCTGGTCCTAATTCAACTTCTGTTTGTCAATTTACTTTTGAAAGTTTTTCAACCTAATCCTAATTCCAGTCCTAAATCCTTCGAAAAATCTGATCAAGTTCAACAAATAAAACACAATGGAAAAGGATTTGAGCTGTGTCTGGCGTCCATTTTGGTTATGATCAGCCGTTGGTCAGGAGCTGAAGCTAGAAACCAGACACAACTTGACAACAATGGAACCTTTGACCCCGATTTCTTGTCACGTCTGGGGGAATGTCTGGTGTCTCGTCATGTCTTGATTACCTATTGTGTTCACCTGGGGTTCCCCTCCCTCATGTGTTTAAATAGTCCTCGTTTCCCATGTCCTGTGCCTGTTCGTTTGCGTCTCTCGTCCCTCGTCTTTCGTCTCCCCATGTCATGTAAGGTTTTGCTTTTTGCCATAGTCTTATTTACTTTATTCCAAAGCCATGTTTTTTCACAGTTTTGCCACCGCTTTGTTTTTGAACCTTGTCTGGACTTCCACCCTTTTGAGTATTTTTGGTTCCAATAAACCCTGTATTGGCGACTGATCAACAAACTTTTAGGTCGCCGAGCAGCTGATTAGGGGAAACTAACGAGCCAGACGCGCTAGATGTTCAAACGCCAGTCCAAAGTCTTCGTGTTATCGCTTTATTTTCTAATCTTCAGGTATCCGACATTAAAACACGTCACTGAATCAGTTCATAGGCATCCAAAATCCAACAAGCGTTAATCCATCGTGAACGTTCACAGCAAACTTGACTCGATCAGATCTAAAGCATAAGGCGTAGAGCATAAAGCGTATAGCGTAAAGCGGTCAGCAAAAAGTAGGCTTCCCCCATCACCCACTCACTACTAAAACTGTCACCTTGCGAGTGAACAGGTGATATTTCAAATGCTACCGCCCCCAAAACCACCTGACCAATTAGTGCACGTCATCACTATGGCACGCCCAAACCCATTCTATCCACTACACCCTGTTTTCCGCATCTCCGCGCCTGGTTTTCACCTCTCACCTCTGACCTCCAGGCGAACAGCGGAAAAGTCGTCCAGCCCTGAGTTCCTGCGCACGCCACACAGGTATCTCCCAGAATCCTCAGCGGTCAGGCCGCTGATGTTGACGGTGAACCTGGACGTCCGGTCGTCGGTGAGTGTGAACCGTCCGGCCGGCGTGCGGTCGGAGGTGACCAGGGCCTGCTGCAGGCAGGTGGAGGGCCTACTACCCTTGCACAGGTACTTCTGCTCCAGGGGCCGGGACTCGTACCGACACACGATGGACACCGAGCCCTCCTCGTAACTTTGGACTGTCCTCACTTCCTCACAGCAGCTGTCTGGAGCAAAGAGAGACACTCTGCTGTTAGGGATTTGGTTATAAATACTCACTTTAGCATTGTTTGCTATCAATATGATCTTTGAGTGATTTAAATACTTCCTAAATGAAATATTTAAATCAGGAAAGTTGTTCACGGGTGTGATCACTGAAGTAAATGCAGATTAGAATTATTTTGATGCGACACACACAATCAAGAAAGGAAAGAAAACACCTGGAATTTTCAAAATACATCTTTGGAGTTACAACAAGATCGTTTCCCACACTTTCTTTATACAGTGGGGGAAATAGGTATTTGACCCCTTGCTGATTTTGCAGGTTTGCCCACTTAGAAAGAATGCTTATTTTTCCTCATTAGATGGTTATCAATTCATACGATGTGATTTTGTGGAATTTTCTTTGGGATTCTGTCTTTCACTGTTAGAATGTACATCTGATTAAAGTTATAGATCGTTGCATTCTTTGTAAGTGGGCAAACCTGCAAAATCAGCAAGGGGTCAAATACTTACTTCCCCCACTGTATGCAGATTACTGATTGTTTTATTTTCTATTATAACTATATTTTGTGTTGAAGTCTCTGGCTGTAACCACAGACTCTCTTTTCTCTCTCTTTTCTTTCTCTCTTTCTCTGTTGCATTAGATACACGTATTTAGGTCAACACAAACACACATCATTTGGTACCACATTCCAATGTCTTCAACATGAATTAGGACCTGGCCTGTTCATGCCCAGAGGTAACTGGCCAATAGGACTTGGTTGTGTCCAGTCCTCCTTTGAGGAGGCGGATGGAGCCCAGGAGATAATGCCCATCACCCAGATCTCAGGGCTCTTTGCCCACTGAGACCCAGAGAGAGGTTTTAGTCTGTCAGAGCCCAGCTGATACACTTAACTGTGTCCAATAAATGTCAATTTTTACTCTTGATCTGCTCTGGCTTATTTTCAGTTTTCCAATTTAAAAAAAATCGGGTAAACACAGTGTTAGATCCGATTTTATGATGGGTTAGAGAGCACAGGTTTTCCCACTGTTTCCTCAGTGGGGATGCGTAAACTTAGTAGTTACCTCGTCTCAGTTGCAGTTTTACTTCAGTGAAATAATCTTTTATCGTCCTTCTGACCGCACACCAGTATTTCCCAGCATCGGCTGACCGGACATCAGAGATGGTTACGATGACGGTTCTCCTCTTGGTGTCGTCAGAGATGGAGTATTTGGTTTTGTTACTTTCTGATGTTGTGATGAGCACATCCCTGCTCCCGCAGTTGTTCTTGCACAGGTACTTCTCGTAATCCTCGTAGCCTTCGTCGTAGGGGCAGGACACCTGGACATCTGTGCCCTCGTATCCAAACACCTGGATCACAGCAGCTGCACAGCCTACACAGCCCAGAGCCGCTGCAGAGAGAGGACTACATCAGCTCACTTCTTATGCTTTTACACGTCTTTCACCTTTGTTGTGTTGCTTTAAAATCGACCATCCATGTTTTTTGGCTTTGGCCTGGTTTGGTTAAATTCTGGGATGATGTGCATTGTACAATTGTTGCAATATTTGGCTACCAGATACCCCAAAACATTCCCAGTGTTGTATCTTGGAAATGTCTCAGGATATATTTTGTGTAAATCTTTATTGTGTAGCTGTTTAAAATCCTGATCGCTGCCAGTAAAAAAACAATCACCAAAAAATGGTAGAAAGAAGACCCCCCCTGAAAAAGAGGACTGGCAGGAAATGGTTAAGGACATATATGTCATGGAGGACTTGACCCACAGCCCCAACATGGCTGCCCATCTGGTTCTGGTTCAGGTTCTGATGGAGGTTTCTTCCTGTTACATGGGAGATTTTCTTTCCCATTAAGCTTTTTATTGGCTCTGAATTCATTGCAATCATTTGGATTCTGGTTGTTTTTCAAACATTGGACCGTAATTGGCTTTAATTATGTTTTATCTTATTAACGGCCATGAGATCAAATGTTATGTGTCACCATGCATGAATTTAACCATCTTTGATCATCATTAGTTATAGTCAGGACAGTTGTCTACATTCAGATTTGTTCCTGAAAATGTTCAGCAAAAAACGAATAAGCTGATCATCACGGACAACTTGTGTTTCCCCAGAATAAAATAAGTAACTTACTGTAGCAGATAAGCAGCAGCTTGAGAGAGCTCCACTCCTTCATATTCCTCAGAAAAATAAATTCTACGTGCTGTGTGAAAGCAAAAATACCCGGTAACGGCAAGGAGGACGAGGGGGTCAGCACAGAAATGCAACAGGACCAGATCAGAGCCTAGAGACTCTTCATTCTAGTTAACACCACACCTAGGATTTATCTGAAATTCTAGACCTGAACAATCTTTAAGAGTTTTTTACACAACAGGTTCTGTCCTGCTTCTGTCAGGTGGAGGAGGTCCAGCCCAGGTGTGGCTCTGCGTCCAGCTCTGGTCTCAGTCCTCCGTCTTTTAGTCTGCGACTCAGAAGGTGATTGGAAGACAACAAAACCCGGGATGTGATTATTTTTGGAATGTGGGAGGAGAGAGGACAGAGACTTCGGGACACTTTGTCAAAAGGAACTGGGAGCGAGGATATCCACGTCCTTTGTTGAGTTTTTTTTCACGGGAAAACAATGCACAAAGTCAGGTGCCACACAATGAGGGGTTCGGGGGGGGGGGGGGGCCTCTGGGGTCTGAGACTGGGGCAGCTCATGGTAAAGAGATCCACCTGCAAAAAGGAGGGTTGTTGGTTTGACTCCAGGCTACTTGGGCAAAACACTGAACCTCAAGTTGATTAAATGTTTGTGCAACCTGATGCTTGTAGGTCTATTTGAATAAAAGCATCCTCTAAAGAGCAGCTCACGAGATGAATATTTAATACTGAATAAAAAGGTAGAAAAAGAAAGAGCAAAGATCCCTTTATGCTCGTTGTGAAAGGAAAAAATGTAAGAATATAAAGTGTAGAAGAACAGATTATGTTGAATAATGAGAACAGGAAGCAAAGAACTGAGGAAAACCAGTCAGCCGGAAGCCTAAACCTCTAAAAGTCAAACGTTATTATCGTTATTTGTAGCTTTCACTCATGGTTAGAAGGTTCAAACTTTATTTAAAGGCCTTAGGTGGCACAAAATGTGTTACAGCTCCACCTGAGGAGACAGTTCAGTCTCCTAATGAGAAAGTCTCTGTCTTTTTGTGTTTCGAAACCCCAATTGTACATTTTTTTAAATGACGTTCATCTTAATTTCCACTCAAAGTACATTTATGTATCCTGCAGACAAAAACTGGGGGTCTGAATTAAACCTGCAGTAAAAAGGCAGAAAAATCCTTCAATTCTGCCACAAAATGAACAAAAAACACAACAAAGCTACAGTTTCTGATTCTTGCACATGATCGGATTTATTTTACAACTTTTACAAACTTCATTTTACCTTCGGACTGTGTGATTCATAAATTCATCCATCAAAGTTATTTGGATTTGGAGAGCTGTTTGCAGAGTTGTCCACACTGACTGAGCACCAGCGCCCCCTGCTGGATAAATTCTGCCCCTTCAGATGAGGGACAATGAACTGTCCCGTTATCCGAGTCAGAAATGAATGAGTTTGAATGAGTATTTTTGTTGGCAACATTCAATTTCAGTCAGAAAAAGTTGATAAAAACTGATCATTTTATTCAATATGTCATTTAAACACACAGTTATAAACACAAGATACTTAGAAATCACTCCTATTACAGGATTTGTTTCTGATATTCATGAGAAATAAAGTGGACGAGGATCCCGTTGCTTTATTTTTGTGCAAACACTTTCAAATTCTCATTTGACTTTAAATACTTTATAATATATTTTCACAACTAGAATCTAATTCGGATTTATAGACCTTTGAGTGATTTGAATACTTCCCAAATAAAAAATTTAAATCGGGAAAGTTGTTCAAGGGTGTGATCACTGAAGTAAATGCAGATTAGAATTACTTTGATGCCACACACAATCAAGAAAGGAAAGAAAACACCTGGAATATTCAAAATACATCTTTGGAGTTACAAATACTGGCGACAGATTGTTTCTCACACTTTCTTTATATCTTTATAAAAAAATAGTGATGATTTTTGTATGAAAAATCAGCAGTAACATAAATAAATGTACAAAAACTGTGTTTTCGGAGGCCCGGCTGAATCAAAACGTAGCCAAAAAAAGTCTCTCTGACTCTGTCTTTCACTGTTAGAATGTACATTTGATCTTACTCTTTGTGTACAAAATTAACCCCATTTTGGTCTGGCATATT